AAACGGCACGCGTACATCCATTGCAGGCGCTTTCCGGGTCTACCACCACGCGTACACGGTTGCTGCGTACGCCCAAGCCTTTCAGAGCGCTGTAATCAGTTTTCCATTCCTGCCTGCGCTTCTTCCGGATTGGAACATTCGATAGCCGCCGCGCTACAATCAAGCCGGTGGTTCTTCCGCTCGCACCCCTCGCGACGTAGCAGCACGTGAAAAACGCATCCCGAGTCGTGGTGAACCAAAAGCGTCCGCGTCGTCACGAAAGTCCGCGCAAAAACCAAAACGACAGGGTGGCGAGCGAGCAGTAATCGCTGCAGAGATGATCGAACACTTTGCCAATGAAATCCGCGCAGAAGCGAAAAAGAAGCGGAAGAAAATCACGTGCAGCCGATGTGGCAAAACCGAGGGTCATAATGCTGCGAAATGCCCCAACCAGCCCGAAGGAAATGTTGACAGCGACGTTCAGTCTGGAATTTACGTCGTTGGAAACTGTCCTCTCGAATTACTGCAACAGCGCAGCTTATTTGTCAACTCTGAAGCAGAAAACCCGGATATCGTGAGCGGGTACAACTTCTGATTTAGTCGGGCGAGAATCCATAGACTGTAGAGTTAGATTAGATGAAGCTAATCACTTTCATTAATAAATCCGGTACCTTGCATGCAAAACCGGGTTGTTGGGACTCCCCAATGCTGTCCTGCTTCCTTCTCTCCGGGTTTGGGGGCACTGGGCTTTATTACCACACCGCTCACCCCCCCCCCACATGCGTACAAGCAAAGGCGCATTCCAACACTGGGTCGTCCCTTGCTCCTGAGTACGCAACAGCAGAGTTTACAATTTGTCAGTGATCCCATGCCACTTGATAGTAGCAGCAGCAAAGTGCAATTACCTCGCCACCCTTATCATTAAAGAGGAGAAACATGTTAGGCTCAACCTCACGGCATAATTATTATGCCACAAAATTACCTGGCTCACTTCACTTTAGTAAACCCGCGTACTACTGGTACCAATAGCACCGTCCAGCAGTGTTACCTTGCCACCCTTATCGATAAAGAACAAAATAAGTTAGATTCAACCTCCCTGCATCATCATTACATCATAGAATTACCTGGGTGCCTTCACGTTAGGCGCGACGCTGCTCGTGAAAGCCTACAGCATTAGCCCTCGCCGCTCCAGCCAGTCAAGATGCTCGCAACATCTTCGATCACTACAAAAATAACATCAGAGAAGTAAGAAATACCATTCATAACCATGGTGCAGGAGCAGCAGTAGGATCTACTTACTCTGGTACATCGCTCCGTTGAGCAGCGGTCTCGATAGAGTGCTGTACTCGTGGCACCATGCGTTGCTTCTCAGCACAGATTCTGTGCTTAAACATCACCAACCGTGTGTAAGATAGCAATTCAACCTTATTCCTGTGTGTGTGAGGACCTACCAAGCAACGGAGCCTGCGCTGATGATCGCAGCACCAGCAAAGGAGCGAACAGAGCACTGCACCTCGGCCAGTTCCAAGCGACAGCGTCCGTGATACTAAATACATGCCTCCTTCAGCTTGAGCTGCTCTGGCTGCTCACCTTTGACCGTACTCCTTTGACTGAACGCGGCCTCACTACGATTTGCTCGCCTTCTCTGGCCCGTCCCATAAGATACTATCAGACGCTATCGTTACTAACTTCAAGTTGGGCCGGTGGCGATAATGTTTGATGTATTTGTGGTCGGTGGTGATAATTAACCGATGTAGCCCTTGTTCTATTGAAGATGGTGGGCTGGTGGTTGGCCAAGGTTCGAATCGGGACGGAGGCTTCCTACGCGGTGGTAGTCAGCGTGGGGGTGTCTCGTTGGGTGTTTCGCGACATGGCGCTATGGTTTGCACCTTCGTTTGGCGCCAACGAGCCCGTTTTGCCGTCGCTACTGTCGGCGGGAGCCTGTTGGTGGGCTGCTGGTGGGCCAAGGTGCGAATCGGGACGGAGCCTTTCTATGGTCAGTGATCCCAGTTGGGATGGGTCACGGATAGGCAAGGTGAGAGGCGCGTTGCGGTGAGTCCCGGAGGGTGCGGTAGGGGAGTATAAAAATGTTTTACTGTGTTACAATCAACCCCGGAGTAGTCGGAGCGTTTCCACCTCGCCACGGATGCCATACACACTCCCCTGTGGGGTCTGGCGGTCCTCGACGGAGAGGTGAGGAAGCCCCAGACATGTAGCTATTCCCCAGGAATACGTTATCCGGACAGTCAAAGTCGGAATGACTTCTTCCTGGGAATAACTTCTTAGCAAAACGTGACGACCAAGCAGCGACATAGACACATAGACAACAGTTTCTTACACTATGATATACCGGTGTGGTATGCGTTGGTACTAGCAGTACTGCGTGTAGGTGATAAGCACGTAGATTCACGCAGTATGTACTTGTGCTACGTAGGTACTTCCTTAGCTGCCAGTACCAGCCTGGCACCATTGTGGTAACTGGAGTTCTCGTTTCTTTTATTTAGCATATCCTAAGATATAAGTCACGTTACTCCCTTTCATTTTAATTAACGGGTTTAACGAATTGAAGACCCCCTACTATTAAAAGACCTCCCGCTATTTTTCAAGAGCGCATCTAGATAAATAATAGAGGCCGCTACGGAGAAAGACCAGTTTAGAGTAGCAATACCAATCCAGGTCTACATGGATCTTAAAAGAGCTCATGTTGTTCTGATTTAGTGGAACATTCGCTGGATTATTCGCTGGGTGGAGGTTTCTGGTGCAGTGGGGATTGAAGATGCAGGATGCGGGGTAAAATTATGCCAAGCAATATGAAGCGTTTCCTTACTCAGGTCAGGGGGTAAGAACCTCAGTCCATTTATGTGTTAGTCCACGGTCGCGAGGAGTCATGCCGATGGGCGTTGGCGCGCGTCGGCGACGCCAGCCCGAGGTGTGGTTCGGGGCGGGCTGCCCTGGGAGTGGTGTGGCGGGTGTCGAGTGACCGAGGCGGCGCTTCGCTGCTCTGGGGAGCTTGGTCCGAAACTTGGTCCCGCCGCCGCCGACGAGCAAATTGCTGCTGGGCGCCGAATGGACTGGGTCTCTCTATCTCTATCCTAGCGATGGGAAAACCTACCCTCGCGAGCACTGCATTGGATGCAGTGCATCTGCAGGCCCGTACGTCAGGTAGGAAATCATGGCACCTAAAGTAGTGGTCTCAGTTCTGGCAGCAGCAAGACAGCGCTCTTACAAATCTTGAAGGATATGAGCTGTGATTGGTTAAAAATCGGTTGCTATCTTGTTGCAGACCCCTTTCCATACTGCCACGATTTTGGTGCAGGATAGTGCCGGCAGCAGCAAGATGCATCCCACCTATTTCCGGACCGTCCCAGGAGCGACGGCAGCAGGAGCCGACGCCCCCCCCGACATATATGAGGCCTCCACAGGTGCTTTCGTTAGATCAGATAGCGTGGGACTGCTGGGGTTGTGGAGAAGCGCAAGCCCCAAGAATGAGTACTGGCAAGTAATTGGACGATTGATGGATCTGGACCTCGCCACAAATGCGGAAGAGTGACAGGCCCAGATGGATCCAGATGAATCTGGGTCTACGCCCACGGAGATCCAAGATCCAAGATCCACGAATCAGATGGATCTGGATCCGGACTCAGATGGATCGGGATCTACGTCGACAGAGATCCAAGATCCTCTGGATTCAGGCGTAATCAGGAAGTTGTGGACACGACTCGACGGGCACGCAACTGACACGCAATGAAGGTAAAGGGAGTCCATAGAGTCGGTAGGTACAGATCGGATGATAGGAGCCACATGGCGATACAACTTTGGGATAGGAGCGAACTTAAGCATAAATCAGACCAGAATTTGCCTTGTACATCGCAAGCGCCTCCTCCTTCGCCTGGAAACGGGAACGACATTGGCCCTACACGGCGTAGAGAGGTTAGCGGTAGCAGACCTAGTGTTGGTTGTAAGACTGGAGTAATATATTGGCCAGATCCAAGACCTTCCTAGTAAACTACCTGCAAGTGCAGATCCAAGATCCACCGGAGTTATCTGTTTGGCCGGTGCGTCCTTCTCGTCTCAACTGTCAACGACACCGTCATTGGGGGCGGCAAACAC